TCCTCCTCCTCGTCCTCCTCCTCCTCCCCCCCTCCCCCTCCTCCTCCTCCTCCTCCTCCTCCTCCTCCTCCTCCTCCTCCTCCTCCTCCTCCTCCTCCTCCTCCTGCTGCCTCCTCGGCCCTCCGCTGGCCCGGGCGGGGAGGCGTCGTGGTGCCTCGCGCGCTGTGGCGCCGGCGCCCGCGCGCCCGCGCCCGACACGTGCGGGGACCGCCCGGGGGGGCCCTCTGGGGCGGCTGATCGACTACACGTAAGAGTGACCTCTCGCCGGAGTGACTTTTGGTGCGGGCTCATCGGGCTTCCCCCGATCGCCGAGCGCGATGCGATATAAGCGGCCCGCGTCCTCGCGCCCCCAAAAGCTGCGCACCAAAGGACACTGTTACGCCTAGCCGAGATGAGGGGGCGCCCTCGCGGGTGCCGGAGGTCTTCCTCCGGTGCCCGCTGCTGAAGCTACGGTCGGGAGCCTTAAGACGGGGGCCAATGCAAACGGGGGTCAGCCAGGGCACCTGATCCTGCAGGATCATGCGAAGACCCCCCTCTGGCTGACCCGGGTCAGCGAGCCGCTCGTGGCCGCGAGGCGGCCGCGCATGTTGGCTGGCCCGGATTTGCGAAGACCTGCGTTGCAGTTGTTTTCTTGGCATTGCAGTTTTTGGTTTCCTGCTGACCGACCCGGGTCTGGATTGACCCGGGTCAGAAGATCCCCGATATGGTTCTTGGGTACTCTCTCCCTAACTTTTTTCTTCGGGGGATGGGGGGGGGGCTACAGAGGGGGGGTGATGACCAGGGGGGGGTTATATCATGCGTGCGGACATGACATTTCACCGATTTTCATGGCGTCTCCTTTTTGTGTCAATACGTCCCTACCCCCCCCCCCCCCCCCCCCCCTCGTGCTAAAACCCCTCTGGGCCGCGCACATGCCGCCGGCCACGCTTTGCGCCCCCCCCTCTTGGACGCCCCCCTCTTTGCCGCCCCCGATAATTAATTACTCGGAGGCTGATAGACCTCCTAGGACAAAAAACAACACTCACGTTGTTCAATATTCTCTACCCCATCGCGGAAACAGCGCATTAATTTCTTACAGTCTATCGACTTCTACACAGCAGCACCTACACCACCATGCCAACATCCTCCTCCACCTGGTGAGGGAGTGGCAAGTTGGAAGTGCGGGCGCTTACCCATTGCTGAGCAATCTCTCTTGGCGGCTTGTAGCTTGTCGGGTCCTTGGTGGTGTTCGCGAAAGAAAAAAGACGTTGATTTTTTCCACCACTCGGACAGTTTCTGGTTTGGCCAACTCGGGCCAGCTGGAAATGTTAGATAACTTCATGTCGAGACTTTGCCTTCGCCCCCTGGGCTCGTCAAACCGTCGGCACGCTCGCTCTGCGAAGGCTAGGGAACTGCCATGTGGACAAACGCAATGATCCACACATCATACACATATCTATAAATGTATACATCTTTATGTGTATATATATATGTATTAGTAGCCACCTTGAGTTTATGTTTGCGCTTGGGCATGGAACTTCTGAACCAAGAGGGCCTCCAGCATCTCGAGGTTGGCAGGCTTGCACTTCTTGCCAGATCGCTTGCGAACCCCCGCCAGCTCGCGACGCTCAGTCTCACCGAGTATATCGTTATCGTCATCGACAGGTACGGGCTTCTGCTCACCACCAGCCCGTCTGGCATCTGGGGCAGCTTCGTCTTCACTCCTCCCGCACGTGCACCAGCAGCACCATCGGGACTTGTAACACCTCTCGGGGACGGGGCACCCGAGGCATGGGGGCGCCGCAGTTTGCGCGCAGCCTTCTGCGCGGCACGCAGGTATAGCACCACTCGCTGAAGGGAACCTCAGCTGCGTCAGCCAACTTGCGTAGATCATCGTCAGGCATGGTGTCTCGGCATCGCTCGGACGTGTGCATCTTTTCCTCGGCGAGGACCATTGAGGAGCATCCTAGATGACTTAGCGAAAAACCCACGCCCGATATCTAAAGATACACGAGGAGTGGACGTCCGAGCGATGGCAAGGTGTGTAACGTTCTAAGAACTTCACGGGCGAGGCCGGTGCGAGGTCCAGGTGGGGCAGCAGGCTGCGCAGGTGCCCCGGGAGCAGCAGCCGTCGCACGATCCTGTCCACCACGCGGTTGTCCAGCGTCGCCCGCCGTGCGCGATGCAGAAGCGTCCATCTTCGTCTTCTTGTCGTCCTCCTCATTGGACGCATCCCTCTTCGGGGGTGGACAGAACCCCCAACAGTGACACGTCGATTAGTGAATTGTCCGTTTTCGGTTCTCGAGAGGGCGCCGCGGCCTTTATTTTTTCCAGGCTTGAGCCGCCCAGGTTTGGGCCCCAAGTCGTTTTCACTAAACCACGTTTTACTAAAGGGAGGTCTGTCCATCCCCGACTTCTCCTTGGAAACGACGAGAGCGGCTTGGGCCTCTTCAATGTGGGTGCCAGCATGAGCGAAGGCGGACTCGGCTTGCTTGACCTTGTCACAGGCCTTGATGAGTGCCTCCTGCCGCTCAGCCTTCGCAGTCCTCACAGCATCTCTAGCCAAGATGGTACGTTCACCTGCCACCAAGGCTTCCAGCTGCGCACCAGGAGGAACATGAGGCGTCGGGGCAGGCGGCAGGTCGACAGCAAGTAGATGACGAGGCCCACGGAACTGCGCAACAGTTGCATTCGCGTGTCCAGGCAGATCGAGTTGTGGAGAGAGGCCGCCGCAGACTCTCCACCCGTAGACGTATCCATGGAATCGTGGCAGGCGTCGCTATGCACGCTGCAGGCAGCGCGTCCCGGGAGGTACTCCCAAGCGCACGCCCGCAGAGGAGGAGTGGGAGGAGGAGGAGGAGGAGGAGGAGGAGGAGGAGGAGGAGGAGGAGGAGGAGGAGGACGGGGAGGGGGAGGGGGAGGGGGAGGGCGAGCTCGCCTCAGGTTTCTCTTAGGATTTGGCCATTCCCGTCATGCCGGCGTTGGCGTGCACGGCGACGGTCAGCACCACGGCGAGGCGGATCGTCACAGTCATGGTCCTTGTCTTGCTTGCGCCAGGGCGGGGTCCTCTTCGCAGCAGACCACGTCCAGGGCATGGCAGCGCGCTCCTCCAGCAGCTCACAGGGGCGGGAGAGAAAAGGGTACCGAGCACGCGTGCTCTGACTGGCGGCGGACTAGCGGTGTCCGTGCTCTGCCACGGCCAAAAAGCATCTTGAGCCAAATTGGTTACGGAATGAAGTAGGAGAAGGAAGAGGAGGAGGAGGAGGAGGAGGAGGAGGAGGAGGAGGAGGAGAAACACGGGGCCCAGAAGGTGCGGAAGGGGGCGGGTTGGGAAATTGGGGACGGGGCTCGAGGCAAGGAGACGCCGCGGATAAGCATGACGAGGAATACGAGAAGGGACATTAGGAGGAGGATGGTGTGGAGGGGGCCCCCTCCACGCGAAGTTTGGTTTGGAGCAAGCGCAAAACCTCAGCGCACAGAACGGACCGCCAGGGAACAAACGTTGTTGAGGGGAGGGGTGGGAGGAGAAGGGGGCCGGGGGGCACGAGGCGGATGAGGATGGTGGTGAGGAGGAGGGGGAGGAGGAGGAGGAGGAGGAGGAGGAGGAAGAGGAGGAGGAGGAGGAGGAGGAGGAGGGGGGGCGGAGTTGGGAAGGGTCGCTCCTCATTCGCCTGCTTCCTTGATTTTTGAGGCTTTACGGTCAATGATCCAGGTTCGAGCATCGATGAGCCAGGTCCGAGGTTCGAAGACGGATATCGTTGGATCACGGATCGAGGATCGAATTTGGAGGGTCGTGGAGAGATGATCGGGGGTTCGGTCGACAGGATCCAAGATCCAATGTCGATGTTCGATGGTCGGCGAGCGGGATTCCAGGATGAGCATGCTTTGCTCGCCGCCTTCTCTTATATAGCTTGTGCGGTTGATGCCTCCTTCCCCTCCCGCCCCTCTTCACCCTCGTTGTCATGTTATCCTCCACCTCCGTTTCTTCCGTCTGAGAGCGGTCATGGCCACGCCAGAGCTAGGCTTATCTGCTGTTTTCGATTCTAGTGGGGAGCCGCTCCGATAGACGGGGCCCCTTGTGTCGTGCAGGTGGGCACTGCCAGCAGTGGCCTATGCAATGTGTGCATGCAGCTTTTGCTCAGAGAGCAAGCCGAGGGCCCGTGGGAGGGAGCTCGTCAGCGCGATCCCTGCCGCGGCATACATGATGCATTGCTTCAATGCCTCTCTCTGTCAGAGTAGGAGGAGGAGAAGGAGTAAGAGGAAGAGGGGGACGAGGAGGAGCAGGGGGAGGATGAGGAGGAGGAGGAGGACGACGACGGCGACGGCGACGAGGAATAGTAGGGGGAGTAGGAGGAGGAGGAGGAGGAGGAGGAGGAGAACCCGTGCTCCCAACCCGACGCGAGGAGAATGAAGGCATCACCCACGAATCGCCGGACGGGATTAGCTTGTTCCAGAGATTCGTAGCGAACAGCGTCGACCAGGCTCCGCAGACCCCCACGGCTGCTCTTTTTCTTCCCCTCCTCCCCGAGCCCTTGCTGGTTGTCTCTGCTCTTTCTCCCTCGCTTCGCTTCTCGTTTCTCCCGTTCTCCTCCGCAGATCCTTCCTTTCTCTCCCCTCCTGCTTCAACTCTCTCTCTCTCTCTTGTTTTCTATCTCTCTCTGTCTCTCTCTCTCTCTCTTTCCCCCGCCTTTCTCCTGCCTGCCATCTCCACGTGTCCGAACTCCTCTCCCCCTCGCGTTGGCAATGAGATCCGCTCTTTCGGAAACTCATCGAGACCACGTGGGCTGAGCCACCTCTGTCATGCGCTGCCCGCGACCACAGCGCCCCTCCCCACAGGCATCCTCCAACTCCCCGTCCGGCGGAGACGGCGAGCAAGGCGAGGAGGCGGAGGATGAGGAAGACGAGTGGGGGCAGGCGGAGGAGACGAAGGAGGAGGAGGAGGAGGAGGAGGAGGAGGAGGAGGGGGAGGAGCGGGATGGGGGTGGAGGAGGGAGGAGGGGGAGCAGAAGGAGCACCAGCAGGCGATTTTTCGTTAGCGATCCCGTAGGCCTGAACGATTTAAACTGAAACCGAGCCAAACTGGAAGGTTGCCTGCGACTAAGGTGCAGGCCTTGCTGCGGCCGCCGTCTCTCGGGCCAAAATCCGCGCCTGGAGCGCCACCATTCCTGGAGTAGATATCAAACCAGACACTGGCGCGGGCAGGCTAACGTCACGGGGCGGGGGTTGTTGAGCAGCATAACAGGGAAAACTGACCCCTCGCCTCGAACTTTCACTCACCGTGGAGTGGGGGTCACGGTAGTGAGGATACAAGCCAGAATCAATTCTGCGCAAAATCGTGGGAGCGCCCGACATATGTCGTTGTGGGCATTATTTGCCGAGCATGTGGCACCGCGTGGAGGAGTACGCTCCACACGTGGTGCAGAAGAAACGAGGCAGCTGTTGCTCTCCTTTGTCGACGATGCAGTGGGCCAAAGCGTGTCCCAGGGAGCGGTCTGGAAAACCCCTCCAGGTCTTACTGGGGCCCTTACATCCTAACATGGGTCGCGCCGAGGCATCCGACGCAAGCTGAAAGCAATGCAAGCAACGCGCACGCCCAGGGCCTGATTCCTGCCAGGCGTGCCAGCCACCAGAGTTTAGAAAATTAGTGTTTGGATCCGACGGGGCACGATCACACTTCTCGGGGGGGAGGGCGGGAAGGACGGTCCCCGCGACTTTCGCCGCAAAAATCAACAAATCACATTTCTTGCTCACCTCCTGGAACTCCTGTACACTGGGTTGGGGATGGAGGAGGAGAGCCTGCTTGGCCCAGACGTCCGCATTCCAGTTGCCTATGCCGATACGTCCCTCGGGGTCGGGCAAGGCATCGAGGACAGCACGACTTCGGTGGGCTGGGGTATGATGAACCCTCGGGATGGGTTCAACTTCATGTAGCAAAGCTCCACGCTGAAGGCCAGCATAACGATGTTTGCGAAACACTTGAAACTGCTTGGAGTCCTGGCGCAGCCGCACGACATTCATGCAATGAGAGTGCCGACCACCAACTCTAGGCTGGTACAGCGGGAGGAGCGCCATGCAAAGATGTTCGGCAGCTTGGGAGGTCTGGTGAAGGACATCATACACCGTACTTTCAGCATACGCGATAACCGCATCCCCAGGGCCCAGGGACACCCAAGAATAGGCAGCCCTAGAGAGCTCCCGAATCGTGTGACGGTGAGCCGATCCATTCATAACAACTTCACATCCCGAAAGGTCGATAGACTCCCAATCAGCGATATCACATTCGGGGGTGTAAAGGATGGGGATGGGGTGGGTAGCAGAGGTCAGGGGAGGGTAGTTATCTTCAGGGTGTTCCCATTTCAACTCGTCGAAAACAACCTATCATTGCTGTCCAAGGCCTCTGCAAGCCATTCAGCCAGTGCGTTATCCGTGACCGACTTCCTGGCCGCAACAGTTTCGGGATGTAAACATTGTTAGACACGGTGTCGCACGCTGTCAGGAAGTCCACAAAGAGGACACAGGCCGTTGCATTGGTATCCCGCGGCCTGCGCACGCGAGCGAGTCCAAATACCCTTACAGAAGACGCTCCATGCCATATACTTCTGATGGGCCGTCAAATGGCGACTCTCAGGACCCAGGACCTTCTTGATGGGATCCACACAAAACCGAACGGCGTTGGCCCCAGGGGTGTCTTGACGCAGGACGCGTTCATGCTTTCGCTGCACAGCTAATTGCAACATGAGCGCAATCATAGTGGGCGAGGTGTATCCAAGATGCACCTCGCGGTCATACTCGTTCTGAAAGGTGAGGGGAGTGACCGATTGCCACCCCACCAGAGCTATCGATAAGTGCATTCTCAATAAAGATCCCTTAGAAGAGCGCCATGTGACCGTGCCGTCAGATCTAACAGCTCGCCACATTTGAGATATTTCCTTAATGTGATACTGGGGCATCGTGGGGGTGGTGTGGGCAATCCACACAATCCCAGCCCATTGCAAGGCTGCAGCAACAGAGGGTCGCCAGACGCCCCCCCCCCCCCCAAACAAAAAAAAAAAAATCGCGAGGCGAGCCTGGAGCGAGCAGCCACGGTGCCGTGGCGGATGGCTGGGGGGCAACACCTTGCGAGCTTCCTGGAGCTCGACATCGGACATTCCAGCCACCGCCGAGGCAAAATTGGCCGCTTGCAAAACTCCAGCAGCATAGATGTTTCCCATCCTGGCCTTCTTTCTGGGGTGCCTGGCGCGGTAGCGGATCAGAACTTCGTGCTGTTTTTTCATTTGAGAAAAACGCTGTTTCTTTTTCCAGGTCCAGCGCTTGGTGCAACGAAACTGACCCGGGGCAAGGACAAAGTCGGTGCCCATCGAGACCACGCTGTTGGTCACGTGCCCCGCGAGGTCGCCAAGGAGTCTAGACATCTTCTTGGCCAGGGTTAAGCTGCTGGCGAAGGTGCTGACCTTGTCGGGCTGAATACCGACGTGCAGCTCATCCCTGAACAGGATGTACAGAGAAGCAGCAGCTTGAGTGATATTGGCCAGAACTTCTTGTTCTGTGCCCTGACGTGGTGACGCTATCATTGTTAACAGAAGAAGGAAGGACGACCTGCGGGCTATCAGCAACACACCGATCAAGCGCTTCAATGCTATACACTCGAACCATGATATCGTTGAATATATCTCCCGCAGGAAGCCCAGACTTCGCGAAGTAGGGGAGGGCTCCGTAGTGAGCCCCAAGGCGAAACAAAAGGGGGCCCCTCCAAAAGTTAGACGTAGTCTTGACACTGACCGCATTGATACCGCGTCTCAAAGCTCTGTCTTTTAACAGACAAAGATCAACAGACTCGTAGTAGTTAGTAGTTGGCCCCGTCCCACATCACTCCTCCCATCTCTTTCTCATGATGCTGGACAACTTCGGCCTGAACAGCCTGGTGCCACACCGCGTCGTCAGCGCTACGCCCAGGACCAAAGGCCCAATACTTACGGGGAAAGTTAATGCCAAAATCCATAATGACGGGTCTCCTTAAACGCTCCCAAACTCGAAAGGGACCAGCACAAAGGAGGATCGGACGTCATCCGCCTTTCGGTTTTTCGAGAAAGGGAAAGAGGAGCCAGAAGAGCCGTTTCGGAAACAGGCTTAGGGACTCGATCGCCTGGATAATCGTCCCGCACGAGTCCAGAGCTTCATCAGAAACAATCGAAATCTGCCTCGGATGCAGCCCGTCGAGCGACTGCGACGTGAGAGGAGAGAAATTGCGAGGGGCGGTCCTGATCTCGTCCGCCGTCGGACGCGGCAGGCGACATCCACCAGGAACACGAGCTTCGGGGGGGACGTGCGACGCGTGCCAAGACTTAGCCAAACACCCGACCTCGGCTTTCAAAAGGTCTCGGGGCGAGTTGGGGGTGACTTGAACGATCGTGGGTGATTTTTAGCGATCGTGCTTTTGAGCGTTCGTGGGTGATTTTGAACGACCGTGGGTGATTTTGAACGATCGTGATTTTAAACGATCGTGGGTGATTTTGAGCGATAGTGGGTGATGTTGAACGATCGTGGGTGATTTTGAACGGTCGTGGGTGATTTTGAACGATCGTGGGTGATGTTTAAGTGTTGTGGGTGATTTTAAACGATCGTGATTTCGCACGATCGTGGGTGATTTTGAGCGATCGTGGGTGATTTTGAACGGCCGTGGGTGATTTTGAACGATCGATTGTGGTTTTGAACGATCGTGGGTGATTTGGAACGATCGTGGGTGATTTCAGGTTCTCGGGGTGATCTTGAGAACGATCGTGGGGGCCCGCTTCTGCTTCCGCTCCGCGGGTGCCAACGCGTGCCCCCCCCCCCCCCCCGAGCGCTCTCTCCTGCCACGGATCCCAGCTGTCCTGCTGGCTGTGAGCGAGGGCCACGTGCGAGCCTTACCTCCCTCCTCCTCCCTCCTCCGCCTGTTCCTCCTCCTCCTCCTCCTCCTCCTCCTCCTCCTCCTCCTCCTCCTCCCTCCTCCTCCTCCTCCTCCCTCCTCCTCCGCCTCCTCCTCCTCCCTCCTCCTCCTTCCTCCTCCTCCTCCTCCTCCTCCTATCCTCCTCCTCCTCCTCTCCTCCTCCTCCATCTCCTCCTCACCCCTACTCCTCCTCCTCCTCCTCCTCCCTCCTCCTCCTCCTCCTCTCCTACTCGCCTCCTCTCCTCCTCCTCCTCCTCCTCCTCCCCCGCCATGGATCCCAACTGTCCTGCTGGATGTGAGCGAGGGCCACACGCGAGCCCTACCTTTACCAGCCTGGAGCGTATCCCCATCCCTAAGATTGACACGCCAAAAGGCGATGACTATCTTAGGGATTCGCCCTCAAAGAAATAAGGGAATCCCTGAGATTGGCATCGTGATGAGGAGGTGCCCAGCATAGGGATAGGAATAGGTTCCAGGCTGGTAATACCCCTGTCCCCCACGAGTTCTGAGGGGGAGGGCGGGGTTCACTTCGCTCGGGAGCTCCCGAGCGAAGTG